TCTGTTGTCCTTCTGTATTGCAATATTTATACTCTCAGAACCATTCACTGTGTTAGTTCAGGGCCCCTGAGAAATTGACACCAAGATTGGATTAGCTGTGAAAGACAGTTACTAAGAGAAATGCCTATGCAGGATAGAGGGGAAGGATCAGGAAGGGATGGGGAGAGCTTTCAGATAGTGATGCAGGGTCGACATTTGGGAAGGAGATGAGAAGCAGGGGTTTATAGTTACTACTATAGAACACAGGTATGTCACCTGGTTTGTGGCAGGGCTTTAACTTTCCTAAAAGTTGATTGGATATGAAGTCTCAGACTGTAGCACAGTTCTAAAAGGCCAATGGAAGGAGTGCTTGACCCAATGTTGTTCACCAAAGGATCCAGAGAGGTCGGAGCTGGGTGGGCTCTTTAGTTAACTCTGGTCTCAATAACGTGATATCCGAGTGGCTTATTTTTATAATCACTACATCCTTTCCACTTTCTTCTTATCTCTTCTCATCTGCCTTCCCTTCCTCCACCTCAGAGGATTATGCAACTTTCAGAGAATAAAAGGTAGCTTTTAGCTAGAAAACAGATGGGTAGCATCTGCAATAAGAAATGATTTTCAGCTCTTTAATTGTGGTCTAGCTATTTATTTGATTAGAATCCCATGGCCAAATCCAGCCTGCTACCTTTTTCTGTAAAGTCATATAAGAACACGGTCATTTTACACATTGTCTGTGGCTACTTCTGTGTGATGACAGCAGAGTTGAGTAGTTGTGACCATAATGTATGGTGCACAGAGCTGGACAGATATACTGTCTGGCATTTTGCAGAAAAGGTTTTCTGATCCCTGTGCTAGATTATTGTCCCTAAAGTTCCTGGGTCTTCAGGGGTAGAAGACATAGCTCCTCCATCCCTCCTTTTTATTCTTTATGGACATTTTCTACTGAATGCATGATATGAGAAGGTTGTGCAGAACGAAGACTTGGAGGGGGGTTACAAATGCAGTGGTTTTGCACGTGACTGTTAAACATCTCACCCTATCCAGTCATTTAAACAACAGCTGACATGCTCAGTAATGACTCTGTTTTAGACATTATTATAAGCACTGAAAATGTACTAATCTACTTAATCCTCAGAATAATCCCACTAGATGCCATACTGTTATAGCATCACCCTTCTACAGATAAAAGAAAACCAAGGCAGAGGTAAGATAGGTGACTTATCCAAGGTCGGTAGCTAGTTTTTTATTCTTTATGGACATTTTCTACTGAATGCATGATATGAGAAGATTGTGCAGAATGAAGACATGGAAAGGGGTTACAAATGCAGTGGCTTTGCATGTGACTGTTAAACTTCTCACCCTATCAACAGCTGACGTGCTCAGTAATGACTCTGTTTTAGACATTATTATAAGCACTGAAAATGTACTAATTACTTAAACCTCAGAATAATCCTACTAGATGCTGTACTGTTATAGCATCACCCTTCTACAGACAAAAGAAAACCAAGACAGAGGTAAGATAGGTGACTTATCCAAGGTCGGTAGCTAGTAAGTGGTGGAACCCGGATTCAAACACAGTGGCAGGACGATAGATCCCATTCTCTAAAGCACCACACAGTACTGCCTTCCTACACACATTATCTTATTAAAACCTTACAGCAAAGCCTTTATTAGCCCCACTTGACAGGTGAGAACAAAAAAATTAGAAATGTAATTACCTAAAGTCATGTCACTGGTAAGTGGCAGAGCCACAATTAATATTCAGAACTCTCAAAGGCCGTATTGATAATCATTGCGCCAGGGTTTCTCAGTCTTGCTACTGTTGATGTTTTGGGCTGGATAATTTCTTGTTGTGGAGGGTAGATGGTCCTGTGTATTGTAGGATGTTTAACAGAGCCCCTACCCACCAGACGGCAACTCACGATAATGAAAATGACAATAGATGTCAAATATCTTGAGGGACAAAATCACCTCCCTTTGAGAACCACAGCTCTCTGATTTACTCCAGGGCACGACTCCAGGGTGTAAGCATTATCTTATTAAAACCTTACAGCAAAGCCTTTGTTAGCCGCACTTGACAGGTGAGGACAAAAAAATCAGAAATGTAATTACCTAAAGTCATGTGACTGGTAAGTGGCAGAGCCACAATTAATACTCAGAACTCTCAAAGGCTGTATTAATAATCATTGCACCAGGGTTTCTCAGTCTTGCTACTGTTGATGTTTTGGGCTGGATAATTTCTTGTTGTGGAGGTAGGTGGTCCTGTGTATTGTAGGATGTTTAGCGGAGCCTCTACCCACCAGATGGAAGTAGCACCCTCCCCCAACTCACGATAATGAAAATGACAATAGATGTCAAATATCCTGAGGGACAAAATCGCCTCCCTCTGAGAACCACAGCTCTCTGCTGTACTCCAGGGCACTACTCCAGGGTGTAACAGCCCAGGTTTACTAGTAAACTCCACCTTGTAATTGTGACTGGCAGTTGAATGCTCCCCTCTTTTTGTTTTGAAGGACAATTTATTCTGCAATTGGCAATGACCTGGCATCTCATGGGTTTATAGTTGCTACTGTAGAACACAGGTATGTCATCTGGGATGTAGCTGGGCTTTAACTTTCCTAAAGGTTGACAGAAAATGTTCGGTGGTCAGTGATGACTATATGATAAGAAACAAGGGAGACTGAGCTAGCTCTTCAAGAATTACAAAAGCAGCTAACATTTCTAGAGAGTTTATTTTGTGCTATATTTGCACAGTGATGACTATATGATAAGAAACAAGGGAGACTGAGCTAGCCCTTCAAGAATTACAAAAGCAGCTAACATTTCTAAAGGGTTTATTTTGTGCTGTATTTGCACACCATCATGTAATCCTCATAGCCACCCTATGAGATGGCTACCGTTATCACTGTTCTAAGGAGGAGGTAAAGGAAGCCAGCAAAGCATTATCTGCCCAAAGCCACACAGCTAGTAAGTGACATTGCTGGATTTGATTCTAGGAGGGAGTTTTCAACGTGGCCTCCAGGAATTGGGAAGATAGAATGGGTTGAGTTTACTCACAATGATGTCTTTTTCTTAGAAGTCCCTTCAGGGCCTCTTTGATTTTTTGTTTAAATATTTTTATTGATTTCAGAGAGGAAGGGAGGGAGATAGAAACATCAATGCTGAGAGAGAATCATTGCTGGGTTGCCTCCTGCACGCCCCCCACTGGGGATCAAGCCCGCAACCTGGGCATGTGCCCTGACCTCCTGGTTCATAGGTCGATGCTCAACCCTGAGCCACACAGGCTGTGCATGATTTTTTTTTTTTAATGCAGTATAGAGGAAGAAAGAGAAGTCAGGAAGGTCAGAATGACCTTGAGTCAAGGGTGGGAAAGAGGAACATGGGTGCGATGGGGAAGTGTAAGTAATTGATTCTGTTTGTGTTGAAGAGATGGATCCGCCTCTGCAACGTACTATTTCAATGACCAGTCTGCTGCAGAAATAGGGAACAAGACGTGGCTCTATCTCAAAACCCCACAACAAGGGGAGAATGAGGTGCTTCTACGAAATTCGCAGGTACACTGCGGTCAGGGCAGGTGGCGTGGGGACTAAAACACACAGGCAACGGGATGGCATTTGCTAGTTTAGATTTATACTCGGCAAGCTGTGTTCCTTGCACTCGTACTTCCCATTGTCCAAGATCCATCAGCAGGTTCACTGAGTAATACAATCCCCTTAGTGCAGCGGTTCTCAACCTGTGAGTTGCGACCCCTTTGGCGGTCGAACGACCCTTTCATAGGGATCGCTTATGACCATCCTGCATATCAGATATTTACATTATGATTCATAACAGTAGCAACATTACAGTTATGAAGTAGCAACGAAAATAATTTTATGGTTGGGTCCCAACATGAGGAATTGTATTTAAAAGGCCAGAAGGTTGAGAACCACTGCCTTAGTGAAATGTGTGGGTCATTGTGAAATCAAAGACAAAATTCTGGGAGAGGACCATGAATATACAGAATTCTTTTGCATTACAACTTCTCATTTTAAAATCTCAAGGTAGATTCATAGTCCCGTAAGAAGACTACTTTTCAGAGAGGGAGTATAGCATAGTATTAAGAGTCTAGGCCTTAAGATCCTACTTTGTACATTTGAATCCTGGAGCCATCACTTTTCAGTGGCGTCATCTTGGACAAGTTAATTTACTGTCCCTGTTTTGCTTCCATGTTTTCTCAGTTACAAAATAACGAGTACTAGTGTCTTTCCCACAGGGCTGTTGGGGAGATTAAATGAAATCGAGCACACTGGCTCCCGCCCTGTGACGGCTTTCCTGTGGGTGCTTTACGTATGTTATTGCATTGAATTCCATCCACATGTCACTGGGGTAGGTAGGCAGCGTTAGACGGTAAAAGGAAGCTCAGAGAGATGAAGTCACCCGAGGTCACACTGTGGCTAAGCAACCGAGCCGGGATGTGGCCCCCACAAGGCTGGTGCCTGCATCATGATGCGGGGCTGTTTTCTAACCACTCACTGCTCAGACATTGCCAGCTTATAAGCAGCTGACCGTTGCTCCCACACACAAGCTCTACACAAACGTTACAATAAGTTGTAAAGTATTACAACTTTTTACTTTGTCATTTCCTTCTTCTAATAATCATATCAGGTGCAACAAAGAGCAAAGGAGTGTTCCCAGGCTCTCGATGTGATGCTTTCTAGAACACCGGTGAAGAATGTATTAGACTCAGAGTTCAATATGCAACAGCTGCAGGTGAGCTATGAAAGCCCTTTTCCCTGTCCTGTAGTTCTTAGCTCTTTATTCTCTAGAGTGTGCTTTTCTGCTGTAATACAGGGTACAACATAATAAAGAGCTGCAAAAAAAAAATTACAGGTGAAGTGTTAGGACAAGAAGAAATGCATTAGGTTGAACTATATATACAGTTGCCAATAGTCAGTCTACAAAAATGGGAGTTCCACGTGGTTCAACTTAACACCTCTGGTAGAAGTACTGTAACTTCTTGGATGGCTTCTGCATGTTTTTGAGCTTGATCCTGGAAAGCTGGTCCACAATTTTTAGATACAATGTTGGGAGGAAAAAAATCTGGGACCAAGTGAAGAGCATAGACAAAGACTCAACAGTGGGTGTGGAGGGTGGAGTACAGGGAGTAGAGGCACTTGAGTTTAAGCATAAGATGATGGTCGCCACTCTCTCTTTTATCTCCATGCCTTTGTACATGTGATCCCCTTGGCAACGTGACTCACCCTCCACCCTGACTAAGTGCTGCTTAATTTTCAACTCAAGTCAGGAAGCACCTCCTCCAAGAGAAGCTTTCTTGGACCCACTGCCCAGCCCTGGCCTGGATTGGCTATCTATCCTGGCTACTCCTTGCTACCACTCCATTGTATTTGCATCATGCATCTGTATTTCTTTCCTTCCCAATAGGCTGTGAGCTCACTGGAAATGAACTACAATACTAATACAGAGCAGACACTCAGTAAATCCTCATGAAATGCACAAAGTGATAAATATGAACTGGGGAGAGGGAGAAATCAGCATTGATGATGTTTTAAGTGTGGGTGACTGGGAAGACCATTAAGTTCACTTCTGAACTTTTACAAATGCTTACCATATATATGTGCGGATGTATTTGTATGTATGTATTATGTGTGTGTGCTATATGTGTATATTTGTATATGTGTGTATTTCCTTTATAAGAAATCAAGGTGTGTAACCATGCCCATGAATTGAATACTAATTGCCTGATTAACAAAATCATTCACTCTATTTTTCTAACAACCTGTGAGATAGTTATCAATTCATCTCATGCTTTTTCACGTAGGACTCCATCGATAGAGATAAAATAGCAGTAATGGGACATTCTTTTGGTGGAGCCACAGTTATTCAGGCTCTTCACGATGACCGGAGATTCAGGTAAGAGAATGAGGCGAAGAGACAGGACAGTAATTTATTGGAAGAGGGGGAGTGATAACCCACGTGAAATACAATTTTATCAAATTCTTAGTAAGGAGGGGACCCTTTGAGCCCTACAAGTCTATTCTTGTGCCTCTATTAAATACTCTCTGTGAACTTTCCTAAGCAGAAAATATCTGATTTCACTGCTATTAAAAACTTTCCCCTCCCCACATATTTTCCCTCATTCTTATTCATCTGTTTGAGGGCTTAACATTTTCACTTGGAAATGTACATTTATATACACATTTTATCAGCGACATAAGATTGTGATAATAATGTGGCCATCTTATAGTCCAGATTTCCCTAGTAAGCAGGGTCTTTTTAATTATTTTTTTCATTTTTAATTTGGAGTGAGGTCTGAAATACTCCAGTGTTCTAACATAAGGAAATGTTTTCTGCCTTGAACTACTTCATCCCAGACTGATGAGCTCGCATAGAGCCCACCATATAGAAAGGGAGGATCACTTGTGAAACTCCATCTCGAATTTCTTAAAATCTGTTTCAGTAGAAGGGGTTTCTCTTCCTTAGTCCATTTAGCACATAAAACAGTGTCCAAAATGTCATGAAACATAGGATAAACTGACTGTTAAAAAGAAAGTTAGTAACTGAGAGCATCTGTATACTATAAACAATAAAATAAAAAATAAAGAAATAAGAAAGTTAGTAATATTTCCAGAGATATGCCCATGTTTTTCATCAATGCCCAGACAATTTTCCAGGTACAGCACCTCTAAATATAAAGTGATGGGTCCAATTGTTACTCTAAGAAAAGATATAATAAATAGACGATGGAGTATCCAGAAAGTCTGGAAATACAGGAGCAATAATGCGTGCAGGGAATTTTTTTCAGACACCACAATTTTGAAAAAATCATTACTTTTCAAAAATTTATTTTGAAAATAATACTAAAATGAATGAAAATTTTAAAGATTACATATCGTTCTAAAAGTCCCAATTCCTAAATGCCTCCTAAAGAAAATGATTACATATTTCCACATCTGCGACCTTACAAAGCTAATCATATCTCCTTCTCACATGAAGCACAATACCATCATGGGCCAGTGTGGTGTGTCCATTAGTCCTGGCTTTAGTAGAAAGACTTGTATGTTTGCCAGTGTGTAACCAGCCTTCCATTATCATCTCAACAAACACCTGCAGGTGCGGTATTGCCCTGGATGCATGGATGATGCCCCTGAATGAGGAAGTATGTTCCAAGTTTTCTCAGCCCCTCTTTTTTATCAACTCTGAAGAGTTCCAATATCCTGCTAATATCATAAAAATGAAAAAATGCTACGCACCTGGTAAAGAAAGGAAAATGATCACAATCAGGTAATAGCAACTGACTTCATTATCTGAAATAGAAACTTGAAACTTGGATAAACCACAACAGATAATCAGCCATTAAAGGACTGTTAAATTTGTTGTGTAGACTTTCAATAAGTGAGAATATTAGAAAAATCTCAGGTTCTAAGTGCATTTAGATTTACTCTTTTTAAAATGCAAATGTTCAAGTGGTGTTACTATATGTGGCCCATATACTGATAATTAAAATGCACGCTAGGGTGCTTGCCACTTTTATGTAAACACAAGAGCAAGCTTACACATTTTGGGGTCCGGGCAGAGAAAAGTGTTCCATCACCAAGCTAGAGTAGGAACTCTTTAGGAAAAAAGTCAGAGCATCTGTTCAGACCGGCAATATGTTTACTATTTGGGAAGAATACAAACTTATAAATTTCCCAAACTATAATGGGATCCCCTAAGTGCTGGCAATATGCTTATATCATCGATGTGAAAAAGAAATCCCAAAAAAGTTTTGGACTCACAATGGGATGTTACAAAGCAAAGATAGTGCTCATTCCTCTCCTATATGAAACGGGTTTATTTCCAGGGAGAAAATATATAGTATAGGCAATGAGCACTTGGGGATCACAGAATGGAGAGGTCTTTTCCAACTGATGTAGTCAGAAAAGGCTGCTTGGAAGAGATGGGAGTAGAATTGGGTGTTGAAGGATGGAGAGAGTTTAGACAGAGCTAGGAAATGTTCAGATAAGAAAAGGACTTCAATGTAGCATATTTGCATGTGCAAGTCTAATTCTAAAGGAGAAATAGTATAGAATGTCTAACCTGTCCTTCACCCCAGTTTCTTACTAGGCACTCTTTTTCTTCCCTTTTCTGCTAGAAATCTTGAAAGAGTAGTTTATATTTAATATTGCATGTGCTTACTTGCAGTTACTCTTGACTCCTGTGGTCTAGCTTCCCAAACGCCTTCCCCCTGCCCCCCCGAACCCCCCCACATGCTGAAGCTGGCCCTGCCGAGGCTTTAAAAGCCCAGCAGTCTATGTGCAGTCTCAGCCTTTCTCTCTGCATCCATTCGATATTGTTGAGGGCACCTATTTCTCTTCTCCAGGCTACCCAGCCTTACTCTTCCCCTGTCATTTAGAGGGCTCCATCCTTTCCCCCCACCCTCTCCTTCTCCTTAGCCATCCTCTACTCTGGGTAGCATCCAGGCTTCTGCTTTTCCCTGACCCTGTGTCTACCTTCTTTATGAGTCCCATGCTCAAGTTTTGATTGGAATTCGGGGAAGAGTGAGCAGGTGCCAAGTGGTTCTGTTTTGAGTAGTGATAGCTAAGAGGATTCACAGTTTGCTTATAAGCAGCAGCAAAGTCGGGGGGGAAAAAGAAATGCATCATGTGGGGCCTGAAAAAAAATGTATTTTAATTTGGTATTTCTCAGCTTGAGATTGGGAAATATGGGTAGAGCTGTCTGGCCACAAATTGGAAATGTATAGACTTTATATGTTATAGATGAAACCTTTGGCATGGATGAGGCTGCAAAGTGAGAAGAGAAATGGTCTGAGAATAGAACCTTGAGAAATGCCTACATTTTAGGTGAAGATCCAGAAAAGAACAGAGTACAAGGAAAGGGGCAGGCATAATGTCAAGGAAACAAAGAGGGAAAAAAGTGCAATAAAATCAAATGTCAAGTGTCCCGGAGGTAATAGAAAATGAGCAATAAAAAGGCCATCCTATATGATGGTAGGCTGTTGGTGAATTTAACATCCAGCTTGGTATTTGGAAGGTGCTTACATTTTAAATAATACAAGAAAACATGTTTCCTAATCTGCGTAATCCAAGGCTTAAATCCAAAGTGGCTTGATTAGCATCAAATAGATATCAAGTTAAGTGGTTGCAGTAAGGGAGCAGGCTTCTGGCTCTGAGTTCAACATATAACACATTCCATCTACTGAAATTGCAAGTATTCCAGCCCCTTAAAAAGCTGGAATCATTTCTTTTAAAGACAAGATGCCAAGCAAAAATAGGATCTTTGAATTGTTTATCCAGAAGGGAAGACAAATACATACTCTAGGATCCCTAAATGAACAGTCTGTGACCCTCAAAAATCATATCTAAGGAGATCAAATTGATAAATATTGTTTCCTTGGTTTTCGGTAAATAAGTCATCCAGGGCCCTGGGTGGTGTAGCTCAGCTGGTTGGGTGCTGTTCTGGGCACTGAAAGGTCACCAGTTTGATTCCCTGCCAGCACTCATGGCAGGTTGCAGGCTCGATTCCCTGTGAGGGCCTCCTGGAGGCATCTGATGAATGTTTTGCTCTCACATTGATGTTTCTCTCTGTCCCTGGCCTTTCCTCTCTCTTTAAAGATCTTTTTTTTTTTAAAAAAAAAAAAAAAAAAAAAAAAAAAGGTCAACCAGGCCCATATCTTTCCTGCACTCTAACTATAAACAATGTGATTTGTAAATGTCTCATTTATCTTTCAGGGGTTCAGTCCATCAGAATTTTGCTGACTTCACTTTTGCAACTGGCAAAGCAGTTGGATACTTATTCACATTAAAAGGAAAAATAGATTCAGAAGTCGCTATGGATCTTACCAACAAAGCTTCATTAGCATTCTTACAAAAGCATTTAGGTAAGAAACAAATATTCTTTCATTCCACAAACCGGATAATTCTCAGAACAAAACTGCCTTTTATTACAGCACTAGTCTCATGTTAAGTTTCCAGTAGTTTATAATTTAACATAGCAGTCAAATCAGTTTGAAAACTTGAGAAAATTTAATTTTGCAGCATTGCATACTATATATCAGACAGTAAGTCTACCTGTTAGAGCCAACAGTCTTCCTCGTAAGACTGGGGTGGGCTTCATGTTGAGGAAACTGTGCATGTTGCATCCATCCCATCTCATTCAGATGCAGCAGCTGGGCACAGGCTACCTTGTCTCCCTGATCAGTACACAGATTATGTAATTTATGATGCTATGTTGCCACCTAGTGGCACTCAACTGTTCAACACTCTCGAAAGTTTAATGTTGATTAACACTTATATTTTACAGGACTTCAGAAAGATTTTGATAAATGGGATTACTTGATTGAAGGAAAAGATGATCACCTTATTCCAGGGACCAATGTTGACACAACCAACTACCATGGCGCTCTACAGAATTCTACAAGTATAGAGGAATAGAATTTAGATCAAAAGTGCTTTTTAAAATGTCTTCTTTTAAAACTGTTTGAAAGTGTGTGTGTTGTATGGCTATACCATAATAGTGACTGAAATTTGGATTAAAATTTTTTTCCTTTAAATATAAAGGGAGACTATTATGTAAAAATCATACCAGCCTAAATTTTACTTTTTACTAAGTGATCCTTTTTTAGTATCAAGTTAATAACTTTTTACAGTACATTAATGAACAAGGATATTAAAACAGGCACAATGCCAATGAAAAAATGTTGCAAGGACATAACACTCCCTAAAAAAATAAAAAGATATTTTCTTGCCTCTTTATTTTGTTATTATGAACAGTAGAATTGTGTTTCAGCAACATGGTAAACTGGATAGAATTTGGCAGCACTTTTCTTTGCTTTTTGGTCATGTTAAGAAAACTTAGATCAAGCGGGTAATAAAGGCATTGTTTTACCACAGTGATATTATACAATTTGATACTATACAATTGAACATGAGAACTAAGTGGGGCATGGACAAGGGTAAGATTATTGGAGGCAGGGCAAGGGCAGCATATTAAAGCAGATGAAAGGAAGTGGGTAATTTGTTTGCATTTTGTTAATGGTTTATTCCTGGTGGATTCTACTTATGAAAGAAAGGTGCATAAGACAGCAAAAATACCAGCTACATAACACATTCTGTTAGTTATTCACCAAAGGCGGAGTTAACTAAGAAAACATTCAGAGTGACTTTTAACTGCTTTATTTTTCAATTATTTTATTTATTTTTATGTTTTATTATGTTTTTAATTTTTTTTTACTGTTACTAATTTTTAGAGAGAGGAAGAGAGAAGGACAGGGATAGAAACATCGATGAAAGAGAAACATTGATCGGCTGCCTCCTGCATGCCCCCTACTAGGAATTGAGCCAGAACCCTGGGCATGGGCCCTGACCGGAATTGAACCAGTGACCTCTTGGTGCATAGGACGATGCACAACCAACTAGGTCACATCGGCTGGTTTTCATTTATTTTTATTTAATAAATGTTTTTAATTATATAGGTAGTACTGGAAATAGAATATCACAATAAGTGGAGGGAAAAGAATACCTTTAACATTATGCACTTATATGTTCAGGAGTCAAGGGAAACATTTTTTTTTAAATATATTTTATTGATTTTCCACAGAGAGGAAGGGAGAGAGATAGTTAGAAACATCGATGAGAGAGAGACATCGATCAGCTGCCTCCTGCACATCCCCCAGTGGGGATGTGCCCGCAACCCAGGCACATGCCCTTCACCGGAATCGAACCTGGGACCCTTCAGTCCGCAGGCCGACGCTCTATCCACTGAGCCAAACCGGTTTCGGCTAGGGAAACATTTTTTGAGTGTCCTAAAGGGTAAAAACTTACACAACTGATTAGCTAAGTATATTTTGGTCTAAGTATGGCCTTGTTTCTCTGACTTCTTTATAGTTAATTAAGCCTGTGTAAACAGGGATAATTAGTACTTGGTAAGAAGCTTGGTTCACTATGACTATTCCATCTCTACCTCTTCTGCCCAGTTATTAAGTAACTGTGTTCTGAAATGGCACTTCGGGCCTGTCTTAATGTGTTAAGGTGTACAAAGACCGATTTTGAGAAATTTGGTTCCTCCTATCCTATATAGCCATTCAGATTAAAAATGTTTAAATTCCTCAGCATGAAACTGCAGGCTTCCTGTAATCTGGCCCTAAAATGCCTTCTCTGACATTTCTCTCAGTAATTCACAACTATGTCTCCTACATGTTGAGCCAAACTTGTCTGTCCATTATCTCAGGAACAACCATATACTTATCTACCTCCAGTACGTTAAATGCGAAACCATCTCCTTTTTGCTTTTTGAAATTACACCCAGCTTTTAAGGTTCCCTATTCTCATGATTCCCTTCAAGCTTCAAGGTCTGATAATGTTTCCTACGCAAACATCTTTTCCCCACTCTTATGTCGCAAACCTCATTTTAGAAATGGATAACCATTCCAACTGTATGGCTGTCCCACTCAATAGCACCTCTTTCAAATCCTTTGTTGGTGGCACATGCTGCTGTGGAAAGAAGAAAATATCTGCTGAAAGGATCCAATGAGTTAAGTTTAAAAAAATCACAATCCTAGTATGGTGCATACTGAACATCTTTCAGGGAAAAGAAGGAAATACCTATTGAATGCCTACTCTTTTTCAGGTACTTTATATAAATTATTTATAATCTTACAAATACTGCAAGAAAGGTTTTATTATCCCCATTTCACAGATTAGGAAGATCAAGGCTCAAAGATATATAACCTGCATAGGTCACATATATAGTAAACAATATATAAGTAGGATTTATTTCCTGATGCTAGGATCTGGACTTTGGATACTACCACTTGCAACCATATTTTTACAAGCATAGACTTTGATGTTAGATGGGTCTAGTTTGATCAAGCCTCTAGCTCTTTGACCTTAGGCAAGTTATTCAGCTTCTGTAAAAAGTTCCCATTTTCTCACCTATAAAATAGGAATAATATTAATATGTGCCTAGAGTTGAGGAGTAAAAAAGAAAATGCATTTAAAGTACCATCCAAGTGACTAAACCTGGAGCTAGCATTTAATACTGCTCTCTTTCCCCCAACTGTAGAATGGTGGTTCCTTTACTATGGATATTCCAGGATTCTATTTCCTTTTTAATGAAAAGAGACCATTACATCTTAAAGGAAAAACTTTATTCAAATATTGTATCATATTAGAATACTTCCAATTTCAAACAGGCAATTAGTCAAATATTTAGACAGAGAAGACAAAGCTTCTGAAATAAAAACAAAAATCCCGAAGGAGTTACAAAACCATCCTCCTAAGTAGCATCAGAAAATATACTTGTCATAAACCTATACTTTTTAAAATTTAAACACTATATTTTAATATAATAACAATTTTTTAAAATATGACCTAATGTGTTAGTAAATTGGTTAGCAAAATAAAGATCCTAGATCCATATACATTCAGCAATATGACTATAAATACACTGCACCCTCAACCTGAGATCTATTTGGTTTTCAACAAATATCAAAGTTTCCAAATCACAAAGTTTCTTGCGATTCAGGCTCTCAATTAGCTCAAACACTCCATTGGTCTGGATGCCACTCCTCTTGTCTAAGAGAAGCTCTGACTGGATCCACAGGTAAATCTATGTGACCTCCAGGCCCCTTTTCTGAGGTTGAGAAAGAAAAAGAAAAACAAGAAAATTACTTACATGAGAGTGACCACCACAAATTGAATGTCCTCTAAAAATGGGGAGGGAGGATTAGTGAGTATTCTAATGACTACAGAGAATTATCCCTATAAAAATGTTTTCTTTGTAGTATTTTGGTTCTCACACATTACCTATTATCAAATAAAGTTTCTCTAAAATACTATAAAACTAGAGGCCCGGCGCATGAAATTCGTGCATGGGAGTGTCCCTCAGCCCCGCCTGAACCATCTCCAATCCAGGACCCCTCTCACAATCTGGGACTGCTGGCTCTTAACAGCTCACCTGCTTACCTGCCTGATCGCCCCTGACCACTCTGCCTGCCTGCCTGATGCCCCTAACTGCTTCCCTGCCTGCCTGATCACCCCTAACCACCTCTGCCTGATCGCCCCTAACCTCTCTGCCTGCCTGCCTGACCACCTCTAAGCACCTCTGTCTGCCGGCTTGATCACCCCCAACTGCTGCCCTGCCAGCTGGATCGCCCCTAACTGCTGCCCTGCCTGCCTGATCACCACTAACTGCCCTTCCCTGGCGGCCTTGTTGCCCCTAAGTGCTCTCCCCTGCCAACCTGATCGCCTGTAACAGCTTCTGCCTTGGCCCCCAACACAGTGGCTTTGTCCAGAAAGGATGTCTGGATGTATGTCCAAAAGATGTCTGGTCTAATTGCAGGCTGATGATCTATCCACTGAGCCAAGCCAGTTAGGGCCCCCCCGCCTTTTTTAGATTATCCACATTTGTAGATATGGCATTAGTTCATTTTTCCATTGATTTTTAGAGAGAGTGGAAGGGAGAGGTATAGAGAGAGAGAGAGAGAGAAACATCAATGTAAGAAACATCCCTGCAGTTGCCTTCCTTAGGAGCCCCAGCCAGGGCTCCAACTTGAAACCCAGGTATGTGCCCTGACCTAGAATCAAACCTGCAACCTTTCCATGCACAGGACCGCACTCATGCTCAACCAACCTATCTACTTCAGCCATTTGATTGTCCCTCACTAACCCCCCTGCCAGCCTGGTCATAGGCAACCATCTTGTGAGGGTGTGAGGGTAAATTTGCATATTACCTCTTTATTAAATAGGATTAACACTGAAAAAAGCCTTTAAACTATGAATTTATCAGATTCACAATCTAACTTTCAAGATTAATTCAATCAACAAGTATTTCCTATTGCAAGAATTCCTCTTCTTGGCTATTTATCCTCTTAAGCACATTTAACATTTTAGCTAGAGTTGTTTTTTGTTTTCTCTTACTATTGACAGACACGGAAATTGATAAACCATTTCTGTTTGCAGATTCAGGGTAATGGTATCTTTAAGATTTGGCAATCTGTTTTATAAACAAAAGTGTCCTTTAATGGTGGTATCATCCAATGACATGAAGGAAAGATCTTTCCCTGATGTTTGGACTATAGCCCAGCAAAACGAACCCTTGGATTATAATCAGTTCTTTACTGTAGGCACAAAATAATTAAAATCAGAAAGGGGGCTATAGACAAACCAGAAAAATGGTAAACAACAAAAAGTAATCCTTTAAAAAGGATCTGATTTTATAGTGATGAATTACCTCAAGTACATTTTCTATCCTTCAGCTATTCATTCATCTCCTTGGGAGCATTTAACACAGGGAATGAAGTAACCTCTTCAAATGGTTAGCTCCCAAATTCCCACAACTCTGGTGTCTGGTGTATTGTTCAAGGGCAGCTTTTCAAACACATTATCCATGGTGATCCACAGATAGATGGTTTATTAAAGACTTCATGAAGAGGAATAGTTCTCTTGGATGCTTTCAACTCATAATAGCATCATGTGTGTGATGTCTGTACAGAAATGAATTCATGAGACCTATTCTTATGGTAAAAGAAAATAGCTCAGATAAAAAAAATTTTTAATGTAATCAAATAGAATCCCAGACCATGGTGACTTAATGTATCACAAAAAAAAAAATAGTCCTTTGTAAGTCAATGCCTCATGAGATTGAAATTTATCCAAATAGGATAAATTCAAATGCCCATACATATCATAATGGTAACAGAAATTGCCCACCTTATAATCTTGAATGAAGAACAAAATATAAAACTGTA